ACGTTTAAAGCCTCATATGGGTTATCCAGTTCTTATATTCTACTTTTTCAGACAACCACAATCTAGACGTGTAAATTGCTCACTAAGCAGCAAACACATCACGGTATAAATATGTTTTTAAATGTTGCTTTCGTTTAAGGATTGTTTAAATTTGTTATAAATATAATTGGGCGAATGACGCAGGTCATTGAACATCATCCCTGTAGCTTCAAATTCCATCTGTGATGTTAATTCAATCTAAGCAAGATGAAACATTATCAAAAAAAGATGTCCATCTATATTTCGGAAGGTCAGTTGGGCTCTTACTATGTTTGGATTTTAGTTTAAAAAAGAAGTTTTCTACCACTTTATTTTATATATCTTTAAGATGGGCGCTATGTAACAAAGACAGAAAACTGGTACGTTTTTTCAAGATTAACGGCGCGGGAGAATGACATTTTTAGCGCACTTATACTCCGTCAGGGACGCATGACCTGTGTTAAGATCTTTCTTCCGAGAGAGTTGTCAAACATCAGGGCAGATAACACAAACGTCTTATGACGTGTACGTCCTATTTTTAAACGTCTTATGACGTGTACATAGAGAATAATAGGTTGGTGCCGTGGATGGAGAAAGTTCATCTGGCGAGGCGGAGGAATTTATTGGGTGAGCCGAAGGCGAACCCAATAAATTCCGGAGCAGAGCCAGATAAACTTTCTCCATCCACGGCACCAATCTATTATTCTATTTATCCTGTCACCGTTTTTTTTTAAAGAATTTTATTAGACAAACTACCTTTGTCGTGAAAACTATCTAGAATGAAAGAAAATGGTCTAACTAAGAAAATGAATTCGAACACCAATATCTTTTATTCATTCGTTAACGCTGTACAGACGTTTAAAGTATTGTTTACGTGACGTCACAATGTAGCGCCAAACAGCACGTGCAAAACAATCAAATCAAGTACGCTATTTTAATGTCGCCAACGAGTTAAGTTTTACATTTATTTTACTTTTAATAATTTTTATTTCGCTTGAAAAATTATAGAGTGAAATAAAATAAACAAAGTTTTATCAACGTTTCCAAAATTCGTTATTCTACACACAGAAGATTTAACGACAGTTTTTTTCATACCACTGGAACGGCCTGTAAAGAACGTTTCTATTGGAAACTCTGAGGCGAAAACAAATTTAACCACCAAACATAAAGTCCAACATTATAATAATAATTATATTTTTTTTCTTGAAAAGTAGTCCGGCAAACATGCATACCACGTGATCAAGTGCCGTAGATCAGTAAAAATATACGGCACCTTGTTATCGGGCCGAAATTGATACAAGTGACAGGATAAATCCTATTTTTATACGTCTTATGACGTGTACGTCCTATATTTATACGTCTTATGACGTGTGCGTCCTATATTTATACGTCTTATGACGTGTACGTCCTATATTTATACGTCCTATGACGTGTACGTCCTATATTTATACGTCTTATGACGTGTGCGTCCTATATTTATACGTCTTATGACGTGTACGTCCTATATTTATACGTCCTATGACGTGTACGTCCTATTAGTATACGTCCTATGACGTGTACGTCCTATTAGTATACGTCCTAAACACATTGACAATGTTAATAAAGGCTTCTATGAAACTTTATTTATATTCTTGACACAAATACAAAGAAATAACAAAGTTGACCATCTTGTTTTGAAAAAATATTGACGGTTTAAATTATGCTTTTGTATTAGATATATAGAACACCAACAACAAAAAATCTGTGTTCCGTCCGTTGCTACAATTACTTTTACGCATTACATGTTTATCTAATTGTATTAGTGTTAAGAAAGAACCATAGTTTTGGAATAATATCAAACAAAACCAAAGAAATACATGTCTGAAAAGAAAAATGTAAAGATATTTAAAACAAGATTGCATTTGAGAAAAATGCTATGCCACCGCATTAATACAACACTAAATAGTTTTGTTTGTTAGTTTGTTTTGGGTTTTACGTCACATCGACACAGTATAGGTCATATCGCGACGTTCCAGCTTTACTTGTGGAGGAAGACCTCAGGTGCCCTTCCATGCATTATTTAAGGCACGAACGGGCACCTGAGTAGAACCACAGACGTTCCGTAAGCTAGCTAAATAGCTTCCTCACATGAAAGAATCCAAAGTCCCTGTGATAGTAGTGTAGGAACAGATTTTTTTTGTTTCTATGCAATTGAAGATTGTCATAATGCATAGATCCCTGACCTATCAAATTCTTATTATCAGATTAGTGGTTAAATCTATTGTTAATCCAATAAAAGATCAGAGTAGGAATATATCAATGCACTCGAGTCTGGTGAATTTGGTGCTGAAGGTCATATTTCACACAGCCTAAATTTCATGACTACATCAAAGGACAACACAGACACTTTGTCAAAATCTAGGTCAGCTGATATCAAAGTTCACTTTACATCTTAATCTGTGCACATGGTTCAAATTTCATAGCTGTACATCAAAGGACAAGAAAGTAGGTCACATCATCAAAATCTAGGTCACCTGATATCAAAGTTCAATTTTACAACTTAAACTGTGCACATGGTCAAAATTTCATTGCTGTACATCAAAGGACAAGAAAGTAAGTCACTTTCCCCTTGGGCACGGCAAAATTTTGACCCAAGGGTTTAATTCAAAACAATCTTGATACAGGTCCACTAAACAACATTTCAAGTCAAATATCTAAGCTGTAGCTTTCTTCCATTTAGAAAACATTTATTTTATTTTCTGTTTTTACTATGTGTACATAATGAGAATCACTGCCCCCGGGCAGGACCAATTTTGACACCAAGGGAAAATTTTGGTAGAGGACCTATAGATGATATTATATAGCAAACATCAAGGCTCTATGCCTTGTACCTTCAGACAATAAGATTTTTTACTATATGTATGTATTGAAAATCAATGACCCCCGGGGCGAGGGCAATTTTGACCCCAGGGCTATAATTTGAACAATCTTGCTAGAGGTTCACTACACAATGTTTCATGCAAAATATCTAACCTCTAGCATTTGTCAATTGCTAGAAAAAAATTTTTTTAAGTTTTTACTATATACATGTAAGGAAAACCAATGACCCCCGGGGCGGGGCCGATTTTGACCCAAGGGCTATAATTTGAACAATCTGGGTAGAGGTCTACCAGACAATGCCTTATGCAAAATATCTAAGCTCTAGGCCTTTTGGGTTTTTACAAGAAGGTATTTTAAGTTTTTACTGTATGTACATATAGTGAAAATCAATGACCCCCGGGCCGAGCCGATTTTGACTCCAGGGCTATCATTTGAACAATCTTGGTAAGGGTCTACCAGACAATGCCTTATGCAAAATATCTAAGCTCAAGGCCTTTTGGGTTTTTACAATAAGGTATTTTAAGTTTTTACTATATGTACATATAGTGAAAATCAATGACCCCGGGGCGGGCCGATTTTGACCCAAGGGCTATCATTTGAACAATCTTGGTAAGGGTCTACCAGACAATGCCTTATGCAAAATATCTAAGCTCTAGGCCTTTTGGGTATTTACATGAAGGTATTTTAAGTTTTTACTATATGTACATATAGTGAAAATCAATGACCCCCGGGGCGGGGCCGATTTTGACCTCAGGGCTGTAATTTGAACAATCTTGGTAGAGGTCTACCAGACAATGCTTTATGCAAAATATCTAAGCTTTAGGCCTTTTGGGTCTTTGCAAGAAGATTTTTTAAATTTATTCTTATAATTCCTTTTGGTTGCCATGGCAACCAGATTTCTGCATGGAATAAAATTCTTTGAACAACTTTGGAAGCCCTTCACCCAAGGATCAATCCTGCCAAGTTTGGTTGAAATTGGACTGGTGGTTTTTCACAAGAAGATTTTTGAAGTTCACTATATATACACACACGCACGCACGCACACACACACACACACACACACACACACACGCACGCACGCACACACGCACGCACACACACACACACACACACAGGTGAATCTCTATATGCCACCGCATCGCAGATAATGATGCTGCGGTGGCATAAAAAACGTTTTCTGTTTTTTGGTGTTTGAACCAATCTAAAAAAGAAAATGTAATGATATTTGTAGAAATAAAACGTTAAATTCACTTGGGGTTTGAATCAATCGCCCATGTAAACTATCTCTCCTACTGAAATTGAATGGTCTTCAGAAACAAGCACTTATCACCTGAAACTGATCCTAAATTATTTTGATCATTTTATGTTTTATTAAAACTGATAATAACAACAATACAATATTACAAATATAATATAAGGATATGTTTGATCATAACATACCTCAAATCTGATTTTTTTCTTATTTCTATACGAAAATTATTTTGAAACTACTGAATCCTATACACGTATCACTGTGACCTTTTTTCCTCATTTTTTTTCTTTTCTTACCAGTCTTATAACTAATGCATTTTACATTATTGTTCATACTATGCTAAAAATCAAGTTTAGCATAACGCTCGATTAAAAAAGTCATTACTAGCAAAATTGTGTCCATATAAAATGTAGAAAATGTCCTGTTTTAGTTTTGGACCCGATATGGCTTTTTTCTTCCAGACAACAAAAAGTATTGCAAAACTGGTTATGTTACACAAATGTCCGAAATGAATACTATAGATTTTGGAAATTTTCGCGTACCTAAAATTTCGAGAAAAAAGGTCTACACGACTTTTTCGCGAATTCATATACTTTTTTATGAATTTTATGAGTGGTTATTTGAATTAGGGTGGCGGCGAATGAACTTTAAAAGTACACGTGGTGATTCTGTCCTGTGTATATTCTAGTATCAGTATGTTTAGTCATAAATGTTGAATTTTTTATTGATTTTTTTATTTCTACCAATAATTAGTATTGTAAAACCTATTTTGGATATATCTAATGATTTTCCAAGGGTATGGTATGCATATATATCAAGTATATACAAATTTGTGTTTTAAATCATAGTTCTAAAATGATAAAGACATTAATTAACATTTTATTATTTAATGCCATGTTAACTAGGCATACGTTTAAACGTTTACGTTTATTATTGTAATACTTTATAGTAAGTAACACCTGGAACTGAAATTCCATTTGAATATACCACGTGATGTGCTGTACACGCGGCTTCATCCGCTTGATGAAAAACAGATATGCAATTGCTGTCCGCTAAGCACAGTCGTCCGCATTGTACGAGACTTACACCCACTTTTTCCCATAAATGTCCCTCATGCACGTACTTGTTCCGCATTTGTTGAAGTTCTATCAACTTTCCTAAAATAAAAAATTAAGAAGTACAAGTTAAATGTTGATGCTGCACATCAAAGACGCCGCTAAATGATGTGAACAGTCAATCAGCATTGAAAATCGTTCTCTATTACAGTTGAATATCCGAAGCACATATCAATTTTTTCTCTATGTTCTTGGTATGTGCTCGTTGTGTAATAATTAAGTTGCATATTTTTGTGAAAAGTAAAACTTAATGCATCAATTCACAAAGTGGTGCCACGTCTGAAATTCTGAAATGTCTGTCTGTTGCGACAAATTGTGAAACGTCGAAGCAAAATAAATTGTATAACTAGTAAAATGGGAATGATTGGTATACCTAAAATAAATTAAAGACAATATGTGCCGAGAATATGTCGATTTAAATATTGGTACTATTGCATAATGTTCGAATGATTTTGAGCTAATGACCCATCCAGCTAATCAGAAATAAATTCAAATATTTAGGTTGAAAATGCTTGAAATTGAAAACGAAAAACCTCGTTATTTCCCAGTTATTGCAACGTACCTTCGCTTTTATTATGACGTGTTATATTCAGGTCAATGATCGGAAATGAATTTAGTGGTACCGGTGTGACAGGGTTCGTACTGATCGAGCTTGTTGTTGGTGGGGATGTTTGTCCTTGGGCTGCAGCCCTGGCGTCCGATTCCGAAACGTACAAGTAACAAACAGCCGAACTTAAATCTTCATTGGCCGTTTTAAACCGGAAGTGAACGGTGTAGTCAGAGGAATCGCTATAGTAAGACATCTCTTGTATAATGTACCAAGTCTGATCGTCTGCTGCATCGAGAATAATGTTTTCACTGGAGTCCTGAAATATACAAATTTCTTCAAATGATTCAATACCGTGGGAAACTATTTCTGTTCATAAAAAATATCATAGAATAAACTAACTCGAAATAAAAAAAAGTTAATCTATTAAATTTCGATTTTTATTCAAATGACATAAACGGAACTTTCTCCTTTACAAAAGATGATAGATTGACGCATAGTCGAATAAAGGGGACATAGAAGTTCCATTGTTGAAAATAATATTTACAGAAGTCCAATTTTCGGTTTTCCGGATACGGTTAGATTGGAAGTATATTTGTGGACGACCTAACTACCAGCTTCGAAACCCGGTCAAAACAATCGCTCAGTGTTAAACGTCAACTTAAAAGCCGTAATATTTACCCCCAACAATAAAAAAGAAGATAAAATAAATAAAAGTTTAAAGGGATGTCTTGCTACAGTTATAACAATAACGGAAACTTTGTATATTTTTTGTTTGTTTTGTTTGTTTGTTCGTTTTGTTTCTTTGTCTTTTTGGCGCCGGTGGGGTGGGAAGTTTACGTCGTACAAACATAGAATCCGTTGAAATGAATTTCTTATAATAATTTATTATATTCTTTGTGGTTATGTAAGCTCATCGATGACGCATTAAAATGATTTCGGGTGAAACAGGCACAAAATATTATACTTTATTTACGCTCTTACTATTGTGTAAAAATTTTCAGTTGTGTGTTTTTGTTGTTGTTTTTTATTTTGTTGTTGTTGTTTTTTCTTTCTTTTTTTCTGGACATGGTTTGCAGTGATGTGACTAACGTATTTATTTGTTCGACAATGTCTGTTATTTTGTTTATTTTTGGAACGCAATTATTGTTGGTAAATCCACAAAAAAATTAGCTCAACGCATATTAAAGATATAATTATATCTGCTACAAAAATTAGTGTTTAAATTTTCAAAAGAACATGCATGTATAAAAAACATATGATAGTAAATTGTCTTAAAAGAAAATGGCGCATTCAGAAAATCAGTGCTGAACACTTTTCGGGAATCGACCATTCGATTAAGAAAACATTATAATTTTAGTGTTGATCATGATCAAATTTAATGTCCATCAATAAAGCGGAAATTCGTCATACGGCCTTGAAAAAAAAGACTGATATTGCTATAATTTATGTTTAGCAATTATTTCTCGCTTTTTCTTGACAAGAAAAGGGGATTAAAACATGATTACTTGATTTTTTTACCGATTACATTGATGACATTTTAAATAAAATGACCCCAAAAGTAAATAAAAACATGCTGTATGAAACTTTAAAATGCTTGGATCGATATTTTTTAACATTTTTTTACAACACTAATCTCAATGTCAGGGGGAATTCTTAAACAATCGTCTTTCCCATGCCTTTTTGGGACAATCTTGGCCACAAAGATCTGAAGGCATCTTTTGTGTTTCTTTTGAAAGCTATTTTATATGATTTTCTAATTTTTACTTTACACTAACTCGGAATTGTCTATGAATTTCTACTACATTTCTATGTAGGGCATGCGCGAAAAATACTACTTCCGGTCAGTTTTTCATAGCAACGGACCGCGTCGTAAAAAGGTCTATATTTTACTTGACAATGAACTTACATTTACGTAATCGATAGGAACCGTGAACGACACAAGGATTACAGCCTCATTGGCACCGAATGTGATTCCCGGAAATGAGAAATGGCACGCGCCTTGATTGATATCAGCTGTGAAGGTGGTTCTTTCAAACGTATCTGTTGCTATTAATGTATCTGAAATGAAATATATCTTAATATATCAATCTTTATACCAATCACAAATATCTGTAACGAATTTGTAATACAGCCAGCATCTTTCTTAGAGAAAAAAGTGAGTTTTGTTCATAAATTGACAGCCGCTGTATATATTAAACTTTATAATACTGCACGTTTGTAACGTCATGTTTATTGAATAATCGTGAGGTTCATGTTATTAGTTATAAAGATTGTTGACAGGTTATATGGCCCTATATAAATGTTTTTTTTTTGTAATAACCCGAGCCGCTAGGCGAGTGTTATTTATTTTGTAAACAACCGTTTATATACGCCATTTTACCTGTCAAAAATCTTTATAACGAATCTATAATACAGCAAGCTTCTTTTTTGGAGAAAAAAAGTAAGATCTCTTTATAAATTGACAGCAGCTGTGTATATAAAACTTTATAATACTGAATGTTTGTAACGTCGCTTTTCATTGGATAATCGTGACGTTTATATCACGGTAGGGAATCACGTGACTTTTACGGTTACGCGTACAGACAATATGGCGGCCTAAAAACCTCGCTTCACATGTGTTTTTCAGGTAATTCTTTATTATATCCCTTTTACTTACATACGAGACCAATTTCAGCCTACGCGGAATAAAGAATTGTTGCCGCCTATACCTTATTTTCCACCCGTGTGCTCATGGCATTTACAAACACTCAAATATTCAACAGAAATTTTCAATGTTGATAATTATTTTTCGGGTAACATTCACGCAAAAATTGTATTTTTTATGAATTTGATTAAACTACGTCGAGTTAGCAAAGAGAAAATGTTCATAGAATTTCTTTATTTGAAAATGTAAATATTAGGAATGTTAAATGTTGACTGGTCATTTTTTATATACACGAGAGAAAAATGATTTGGGTAACAGACACGCATACTTTTATTGTTGATAACTCCCATGCAATATTTTATGTGCAAGCAATATCGATGCAGGTTATAGTCTAGATATTGATTGAACAAAATCATGATTGATGCATTTAGCCTTAAACGTTCATAGAATTTTGATTAATATTAAAAATACCGCCAATAGGTCCTTGATAGAATTAAGCCCCTATGGATAGCAGAATATATACTCACGTGAATATATTAAATTAAGTTTCGATATAGATGAATTAATCGCAGAAATTAAAATAAAAGTCTCAAATATAAGAAGGAGGTCGATTTCCGTTTGAGCACAATTACAGTTGTCATTTTTCATAGTTTGCAGATATGGACGGTTCCAGCTCGGATATTGTTTGTGGGTAATGTTGGAAAACATTTGTCTTAATGACCACATAAACTGGCTTCTTGGCACAGGAGCTTGTAAATGTTGTGGCAAATCGAAACGTCACGGGTATGGCATTTTACTGCTATTCGTTATGTTAAGATTTTAAAGACATTCAAATCACTAGCTTAGTCTTTTACAGGTATGTTACCAATTATTTTTCAAATTAGTGTCTGTATTTAACATTATTATGTTATGATTTTTTTAAATCTAAAACAAAAAGAAAACAACCTAAAGAATGTTAGAATGGGTCTTTTATTTTACAAACTAGGTAATAAAATCTAGAGGACTTATGTTTGAATGTCATCTTAATATTAACAGTAAAACACGTAACGTTTCCGATTTGCTGAGCTATAAAATGTTTTACCACAACATTTATAACGTCCTGTGCCGCGTAGACTTTTTTATGTGGTCAATAATTGAGACCTATCCGTGAATGAAATGTTTCCCACATTTATCACAAACAATATCCGAGATGGAACCTTCCATATCTGCAAACTATGAAAAATGACAACTGTAATTATGCCTATCAAAACAGAAATACAAAACCTCCTTCTAATATTTTAGACTTTTGTATCAAAACGCGACCTAATTGAATGATTTGGGTTGCGAAGTTATTGATTTCCTTGGCAATTCATGCTTTTACAAGTCCTGCCTTTTTGAAATTTATTTATCATATTATTGTAACCTATGAGCAGAGGAAGGGTTGTTCGGCCCATATAATTTACGCCCCAAGACGATTCGTCAATCTAGCTGTATTTATATCTTAGTGATAGTAAAATTAAGTGTGAATTAGTTTGAAAAATACATTATATCCATTGCATTATCAAAACAAAAATTGATTCAACTGTTTGAGATTAAATAACAAAGTTGAGTGTTAAATTTTCAGTTTAATTGCCGTGAATTTGTAGGGAATAATAAATCTACTTTAATATTCTAGATCCTGGTCCTGGCTGAAATTTAGAGTATTGCTGCTGTAGCTTGTATACCATAAATTTAACATGGAAAGGACTGTCAGGTTTGTTAAATTGACATTCTTATATTTAATATGTATATATTTTATATTTCTTTACAAAGTATATATATTTCAACTACTGGATATTTAATGTCATCTTAATATTAACAGTAAAACCCGTAACGTTTCCGATTTGCTGAGCTATAAAATGTTTTACCACAACATTTATAACGTCCTGTGCCGCGTAGACTTTTAATAATAATTAATAATATATTATTTTTCAGAATACTTTTGTAACATTATTAATATAAAATTTACATATTTGTTGTGTACAGGATGCTTCATACAATGGTCTTAGCTAAAGCCTTGAATGCATATTTCTTGGGAAAATGCTGAAGTAACTGATGGGAGCAGTTTTTCTTACCAATCATAGGCCAGACTTAAATAGCTTCTTTTTAAAAAGATTTTGTTGTTTTATGTACATAATTTGCTGTCAATATGAAACTTCAGCTGTATCTTAATTTCTATGCTGTTTTATTATGTAAATCTTAGAGATAAAACATATCACTAAGTTGATTAATTATATATATAATTTGAGATTGACCAAGTCAATTTTAACTAGTAACTTCTTATTTTATTTGCAGAAGCAGTAGAAGTATTCAAACACCATCATGAAACACTTAAGACATACCCAGAGAGATCAAGAAGAAGTACTAGATGTAGATTTGAACAGATTGTAGCTAAATTGTCAAACTAAAAGGACTTCTTAAATCGTTTGAATTTAAGCTAAACTTGAACTGTATTTTTGAAATAAAATAGCTGAAGTATTTAATAGTGTCTTGATTTTTTTGTTAAACTCTGTTACAGTACTCTGCTTTATATTAAAATTAAAGTATGTTGACATGACATTGAAACTTCAACGTTGTGCCAACGTTGAATTTCAACATTTTTTAAACTTTAATCCAACGTTGAAATCTAACCATAATTCAACGTTGTTCAACGTTGATGTGCCTGCTGGGTTAATTCTATCAAGGACATATTGGCGGTATTTTTAATATTAATCAAAATTCTATGAACGTTTAAGGCTAAATGCATCAATCATGATTTTTTTCAATAATTATCTAGGCTATAACCTGCATAGATATTGCTTGCACATAACATATTGCGTGGGAGTTATCAACAATAAAAGTACGCGTGGGAGTTACCCAAATCATTTTTCTCTCGTCTATTGGAATAGAAAATGACCAGTCAACATTTAACATTCCTAATATTTACATTTTCAAATAAAGAAATTCTATGAACATTTTCTCTTTGCTAACTCGACGTAGTTTAATCAAATTCATAAAAAATACAAATTTTGCGTGAATGTTACCCGAAAAATAATTGTCCACATTGAAAATTTCTGCTGAATTTTTGAGTGTTTGTAAAAGCTATGAGAACATGGGTGGAAAATAAGGTATTGGTGGCAAAAATTCTTTATTCCGCGTAGGCTGCAACAGGTCTCGTATGTAAGTAATAGGGATATAATAAAGAATTACCTAAAAAACTCATGTGAAGCGAGGTTTTTAGGCCGCCATATTGTCTGTACGCGTAACCGTAAAAGTCACGTGATTCCCTACCGTGTATATAGTTTTTATAATACTGCACGTTTGTGACGTCGCTTTTCATTGGACAATCGTGACGTTTATATTATTAGTTATAAAGATTGTTGACAGGTTATATGGCCCTATATAGACGGCTGTTTGTAAATATAACCCGAGCCGCTAGGCGATGGTTATATTGCAAACAGCCATTTATATACGGCCATATAACTTATCAACAATCTTTATAACGAATTTATAATACAGCAAACATCATTTTTAGAGAACTATATAAACGTCACGATTATCCAATGAAAAGCGACGTTACAAACGTGCAGTATTATAAAGTTTTATATACACGGCTGTTGTCGATTCATAAAGAAATCTTACTTTTTTTTCTCTAAAAAATTATGTTTGCTGTATTATAAATTCGTTATAAAGATTGTTGACAGGTTATATGGCCGTATATAAACGGCTGTTTGCAATATAACACTCGCCTAGCGGCTCGGGTTATATTTACAAACAGCCGTTAATATAGGGCCATATAACCTGTCAACAATCTTTATAACTAATAATACAGACATTAAACCTAATACTGAATGAAAAGCGCGCCAAATAATTATATAACGTGACGTCATTTACGACGTCACGTCATTAAGTTGGTTCCTAGTACTGTGCACGCTGGTATTTCACTGAAACAACGTAAGGGGCTTAAATTCAAAACATTGAAATTATCAAATTGATAATTTCACTGTTTAAAACAGTGAAATTACCAGTTTTATATCACTGATATATTTCTATAAACCACCGAAAAGCATGTAATAAAAATTCTTTATAAAGATTTTTGACAGGTTATATGGCCCTATATAAACGGCTATTTGCAATATAACCCTCGCCTAGCGGTTCGGGTTATATTTACAATTAGCCGTTTATATAGGGCCATATAACCTGTCAATAATCTTTATAACTAATAATATAAACGTCACGATTATCCAATGAAAAGCGACGTTACAAACGTGCAGAATTATAAAAAAACTATATAAATGTCACGATTTTAATACTGTTATTTGTAACGTCGCTTTAAAGAACATCTCAGCTTCTGTTAAACAGAAGCATAAAAAGAGTCATGTAATGCACAGCGCATACAAATGTTTGCTGTTGTCTGGGATTTGATTATGCATAAAACAGCTTACCGCTAGGTGCATCCGGGGGATACAAGTTGTTCAATGCGAATTGCTCTGCTTGGACAATATCCGTGAATTGATGACAATCCCCTGATGGTGACCGATTGCCAAACCATAGGTCATAACTGAATTCAAAGCTATAACTTAGGCTTCCACCACTGCTCCCATTTCCGACATTTGAAATTACCCATAAACCATCAGGGTCAATTTCGATTGAATTTCCGTTAAGGTAGTCCTGCATAATTTTAACAATTGTTTTCAGGCTACATAATAACAACCAAACACATTTAATACAAAAACATACATGTAACAATGATTTAAAAACTGTAAAGACTGGTCCGGTACTGTACGGCTAAACATCCGGACGGAGTCGTAGCTGGGTTTTAACATGTCAAGTAACCTAAGGACCAATATGAGAAATTTTACACTGTCTGGCGTTAATGCATGTTTGTCCTGTATTGTATTACTTATAGTCCTACTACGTTCAACGCAAATAACGTTATCTCTGATCTAATTGAATTCCATAACTGAAAATTACCTACACAACCCGTTACTTTAAAAAGTATATATTGTCGCATGTCATTTTATAAAACAACGTAAATTCGTCTTGAGTATCGTTAAGACAGACGTACGTCATTTTTTGTTCGGCAAATATCAAAGAAATACCTACATCAACAAATACCTAACAACCATACCCAAAACTACCCTACCCTACCAACCTACCTTACTTACCTACCAAACCACCAAACCACCCACCTACCTTACTTACCTACCAAACCACCAACCCACCCACCAACCTACCTGATAGTTGGTTATTTGTACACCATATCTTGTGACTATCCATGCGTTGTTGGGTGCATATGCATGGCCGGGAAAGTTGGTATAGCAAGATACATGGGCTCTCCATACGCCGTTTCCTGTCGGATATGTGTTTGTCACTGTGAATGTATTGTTCGCAATCATCTCGCAATCTTGGTAAAAAATAAAAATGATCATTTCATCACTGGTACATTGTAGGTTTATTGATATATTAATTTCATGGTAGACTATGAATTCGTTTTCCAATTAGAAAACTGCTCAACCATTTTTAACACATATGGTCGGGAAAGTATAAAATAGTTCATAGTTTCATATAGTTCGCTTGTGGAGCAGAATTCTACAAGTTAAATGTTGATGCTACGCATCAAGGACAAACTGTTCTGTTATTTTACAAATAGCAAAAATATGTCTGTAATGTAAAATAATATAGTTATAAATAAATTGTTAGATATAATAGATTCTTAGTTACGTATTGTTGACTTATTTATGAAAGAACTACTTTACGTAAAGAACCACTAAATATAATAAAAAATCAAGGCAAAAGAGCACAATCGTCACAGAATCCTTTAAAATAACGTATAGAAAATATTTATGATGATTTTTAAACAAACTTACTTTTTTCCCTCAGTTAATCTGTTTTTAATTATTTTCATGAATAAGCATACGTTTTACCTGTTTTGCAAAAAAAAAAAAATTTCCGTTGCGACGGTAGCGCAAAAAAAAAAATATCCGTTGCGTATTTTAGTCATACCCCTTGTTCCTGCCTTCTAGAATAGACTGGCTCATTGACACGTTAGATATTAGGTAAATAAAATTAGATAATGATAAAAAGAATTGCACGCGGTGTCTAATAAGACTCGTCTTTCATTCTCAGCCTTTTCCATTATGTAAAAATATTTTGTTTGTTGTTTGTATGTAAATTATATATTCTTTTGGGAATAAATATGTTTAAACCAATGTATAAAATCTCAATGAAACGACCCATAAAATCTGTCCCAGAAATTTGCCCCAATTTAACTGTTCCAATAATTTGTATGCCCAATATTCCGGCCTTGATCATTACCAAGACTTGTCACATCTCCCCCTCATATTTGATGTGATATTGTTGATGTACCATTGTTGTGTTGTTTTTCTTATAACCAAAGAAATATATACAATTATAAAATGAAATCTTGTTTTGTTTTGTTTAACAAAAATAAAAACGTTTTGGGACCTAGATTAAGCACTTTTAGGCCACTCCAAATGAGTTCCTTCTTTTTGTCACGAACGTTGATTATTGAAGCGGAAAGAAAAAGGGCTGGAACGGTTGCAGACGACTCTTAGTGAGATGACTTGATTATGTCTTTACGAACAATTAACTTGGCGCTAGTTAATATCATACTAAAAATGTGTTGTTTTTTTTCTTTCTTTTTTTTCGAATTTGTATGCCTTTTAATGTACTAAATTACTACTTAATTTCTTTCGCATTGCGACTACTTCGTTAAAATATCATCGTCAGTGCCTGCGTTTTTTCTTTTAAATTAGCGACATAGAATAATTTCATTTACAGTTTTACAATTTCAAATCAAGACTACCTACCCGTTAAGCCAATATACACCAACAAGAGTCCAAAGTGTTTAAACACAACAAACATTGTATATCAAATTGTATATTAATTCTTTAACAAAAACAGACTGTGCTCACTGTAAATTGTACACTTCAGGTACTGCAAATTTCTTACGAAAGAGAAATGTGGTATTCATTTGCTAAATAAAAAATTATTTTATAATTTATATCGTTACGTCAAAAGGTGATAGATTAAAAAAAAAACATTCGAGCAGGAAACAATATTTTACTAACCGGAAACAGACACTTCCGTTAATGTAAAGTTTATTTGTACTGGAAGTTTTCATTTATATCATGCTTTGTAAAATATAGATTAAGCTTCAACAAATGTTGCCAAATATGCTATGATTTAGTTTTTTCTTTCAAAATTGTTTCCAGGTGAAACAATAGACGAAACAAATAAATAAAATACGTTAATATTGGTTCAAAATATTGAAAACCCATTTATTGATAGGTGCAAAATAAAATGAAAAATATTTAAGTTTTTAATCCCTGACAAATTGGTATTTTGGAAGTTTTTACGTTTCAAAAAAGTCACATTTAATCTCAGATATTAATACATATTTTCTGTGTAAAAGGAGAAAACATTTATTTTATGATGTCATAAGAATGGATTAGGATCATTTAAGATGCTCATTTCATATAACGTCTTCATGTATCTTTACCGTTGTTCGCGTTATAACATCCCTTGATTCGCGTTGCTACGCACTTTGTTTCGCGTAATTTCTAGTCCAAGGGGAATAGCAGCGAGAGGCCCGGCATGTCATATGATCGTTTTTATTACAGAGTTTACGTCATGTAAAAATGAGTCTTGGTTATGACGTTATACAGAATTTGTCATGCTAAAATTTTGTTTCTGACAATGTGCTTCTAAAAACTTTAATAAGCTATTATCAGTAAATATTCTTTAAGACAAATCTGCTTCCGGTTCCTCTAACTGTACTCCTGTTTATAACAACTTTTTACATTATCTTAATACATTTAGATTAAGTGTTGCCCTAAAAGGAATTTTGGTAGGTTTAACTTATGTTATGTACCCTCCATTAAGATGAGAAAAAGTAGACATGGTACATGTATATATAAGCTACTAGCTTAATCATGAAATACATTATACAGTATTTGCGCTATTTTGTCGCAATTCCTGGACGGCGACATATACAATGAAGAAGATTTTTCTATTTCTACCCGTACACCGCCTGCCAAAGCCAATCGGCATAGTGAATTGAATACCACATGATAACAAAATGGACGTCAAAAGACCTCAAAAGAGGCACCTATGGGGTACACTATCCGCCATGTTTTTTTTTATAGAACTAATATAAGATTTCATGTACAAAGCTCAAAAGCAGTGTTTAGGCCTGCGGGGAAAAACAATATTCGGAATATTTCTTCTAAAGGAAGAAACATATGACTTTAGCTTTATTGTTTGGGAAAAGGAGTTTTTCACGAACAAAAATCGGATAACTCGGCTGAATGGCGAAAACGTTAAAAAACCTACGTCGTAACAATGAACTTCATTTTCTGATCATTGTATTGTCATTTGTCATTGTTTAACAAAAGAAACCGAAGACTTTTACACACATGTCCATATCATTAAAAGGACCAAAATTGTTTTTAACAGCCGGTAAATGCTCAAATGCTACGCATTTTCAGTGTATTAACTCGACAAAATAGTGAAATCAAATAACATTTTATTTGCTTTTTACGTTACAGCTGGTGTTTTTTAATGAATATTTTGCAGATTTTTGTTTTTTATGTAAAGTGTACTTTGTATCACATTTTTCATTCTATTACAAAATACAATCATTTTGGTACAAAAAATGTTCCTATGAATAGACGTAATACGAAACTCGCGCCAATACATCCCCACTTCCATAAATCACGCCATGTCCTGTACAAGTGGAACTGTTTTCAAGAAAAAATGCAGACACGCATTTGTCGTCTGCAAGGCACGTGCGTATGCATTGCAGCAGATTGACGTCAGTAATATTCCAAAGTCTGTTCTCGCCAACATATTTGTTACGCATATCCTGTGATTCAACAAAGTGTCCTGAAAAGAGGGGGAAAACAATCTTGAAAAACGTTCATTCAACTGAATTTGACAGACTTAAGATCTTTGTGTGAAAGAAGTGACCGGCAAATTTATGTTTAGTTTATTTTATTGTGTTTTGTACAGTACGAATTAACACCATTAATATCATAAAATTATACATGTACATAGAAAATTTTAACAACATTATCTAGAGTACTTCTCTCAGGTTTTGCAATGAAACTACAATTTATATAATTTTTAAGATAAGATAGAAATTAAGAATAATTTGAACAGTGGTAGTTTTTAATTAATTTCAAGGGAGAGAAATACGATTTCTTTAATATCCCTGTGTTACAATCACAGTCAATATTTCCTCCCTTGTGTCTGATTACTCGAATCCCGCACCTGTGCATGTATGGGTCTTATTCAATGAAAAGGTCTTCAAAATATGATACAATTAATAGTTAATGTACACTTAATGTTTAGGAATTATATTTTGATTTTAGTGATCTGTGTTATTATAGAGCACGGTACAGTGTTCAGATGCGCAGTAATATAATCCCGAAGGCTACGGCCTGAACAATTAAATACGAACATCTGAACGACCATTTTCAATCTTTCTAGATAGTTTAAGAGCAAAATTTAAATCAAAGTTGTTTCTTGTGGATCAGATTTTTCAAATTCAATATGTTGGTTTGCAAATACGGTGAGAGAAAATAAGAACTGCTGTGAAATATATCACACTTCCGGCCTTCTTTGTATATGTAAGGAATGTTAGAATACCCCATTAATAATAAACGTGAAGCGAGAAAGTACCTGATGTCGCCCGTGTCCGTGGTGAATGCGGTATAATGACTCGTGCGGAGTTTCCTTGTGTGAATGACGGTGGCGGAGTATTAGTTGTAACTGTCTGGGCCGCTGTTGTTTTAGCATCTGTGGTAGCTACAGCAACCTGTGTCGTCGTGCCGCTCAAAGATGCTGCATGTGTAACAGCATCGCTTTCTGATACAAACATAGAGCATGTGGCCTTGCTGACATCTTGATCGGTGGTTGTAAACATAAAATTGAATGTATACAGTGCGCCATTTGTACGAGAATATATATCTTTCACGATGTACCATGTTTTATCGGCCGCCACGTGAAGCACCGTGCTTCCGAAGTAGTCCTATTATAAAAGAAAACACAATAAACCGGTATAGTGCCATATATAATCATAAAGTACATAGAAATAATAGATAAAGATCTTGCACTTGAAAATATGCAAATTTATCCATAAAACATGATCTACATATTTGGAAATAAAGCGACACAAGAGATTTTAAGGCAGGCTGGTACTGTACGTTGCTTGAGACCGCGTGTAAGGATCATGTTGGTTTTTAACGCGCCAGACCACAGTATCTATCTTAACGAGTGTCATTCCGCCAAGGCTGTACGCAGAGGAGTAACCACACTTAAGGATTTAAATCACAAATCTCCACCAGTCTGTGTGCGAGTATGCCGACAAAAAACTAAAAAATAAATGTAGTAAGAAATGTAATACCTTAGTAGAATCATATATAATACAACAAGCGAACATTTACTACTCTCTCCAACATGAGATACTGGGCCCCACTATTCTTCAAAATAACTGTTATAACAAATAACTAGATAAAACATGACAGTCTTTCCATTATGTATAAGTGAGAAGAAAAACACCAGTTTGTGTTTCTAACTAATATACAGAGACCGGCACCTATATTACATAGCACACTGAGTGAAGCGGCCTCTACCTGGATAAATATAATTATATCAGGTAATCTTATCAACCACCGCAGGCTACACTTTTGGGCTGTATTTATGATCTGTTAACAAACCTAGCTTACGAGACGCTTCGGCCGAACCAGTTACCAATGAATCATATATGAAATACCAGCAGATAATGAAAGAATACATAATACTGTGCTCGCCTTACGCTCTCTTGATGACTCGCCTCACAGGAGACCCTGTAAACTCGCGCATATCTAAAAGCATGGCTTCACGTGCTCCATACCGAGATACCGATAAAAGATGCCCACAAGACGCCTCGCCTGTACTTTCCCATATACTACGCATGCAAGTACTAATCAAATGTAATCTGTAAAGTTAAAGAATATGGATATTTCTCTTATTATTCTTAATGTTAAATCAAAGAGTTATGAAGCGCGGAGCTATTTTGTGTTTACTTTTTTTATGTCCAATGCGCCTCAGGGGATGCGTTTGGAAGCAGCACAATAAATCCTTTCGTATTAATCATTGATTAAAGTATCGTATTTCGAAACATTCAAGAACTCCTAATCGATTCTATATTGTTTCCCCGTCACAGAACAATGAATCCTAGCCATTATTCATATTAATGAATGAGAACCGGAAAAGCATCCTTAGTTAATAAATTTCGAAAGCATAATCAAAGCTCATAAAACTTTGAATGTAATGGGGAGGCTTGCCGACCCAATGTTAATAACCCGTTCGTCCAATCCTTATCTCGCTCGCACCGGAGTGCATAGAAGCGATAAATCAAAAGCAGTTCAAAAAATGTAACCTTGATTTTCTCATAAAGCTGACTCATCACTCATCAGTACATTAACTACATCATAGAAGCACTGATATGGTCATATCTGCTGACTTTGTAAAAGATAAATAATTCTCTGAAAAAATTCATTGAATGTTGTTGTTATTTTTTTCAAAAATCAAAACTACTCCCATGAAGACGTCAATACTGCCGCACTATGAGGTCGGATTAAACCGTCGAAGAAGGTAAAAACAAGGGTAATCAAGGCTTTTTAGGATACGTACGTTTTGAATAAATAAGTCTGCTGGTACTGTATGAAAACTCCTTCAGCAGGTATATCAATTCATTAAAGCCCTTAATCCAGTAGATTGGAGACCTTATTCTGTTAAACATGTTTTAGCTCAGGGTTAAATCGTAGTATACATACTAGCGCTGCGCACGTTGCGCGTTAAATCTGAGTGGGGTATTAGTCTCCACGCACTCAGTGAGGAGCACAAAAATAGCCCAATTGATTGCGGTACTCCTATTTAGCTGAATTGGTTTTATACCATTTTTAGACCAGTCAGAGAAGAGACGAGAACGCCCGGAACCAGCAAAAATGTAATATATAAGCAATGTTGGAACAGATGTCATTTGCGGAGTTCATGATTATCTTGCCGGGTAACAAGGCAGGTGTTCATTTATGACAAGCCCCGCTGATCAACAAGAAAACTTGACATCTCTAATATGTTTGACTCCTGACTTGCAAAAAACGAAAAAGCCAGAACACGTCAACACAAAACACCCACCATTCTGATTAATTACTACGTGCTGGCAGCCCACCTCGTACAAAACAGGTAGCCACGGAGTGTCTTTCACAAATGCTCGTTCATCTACCTGGCAATCTATAACTTCTCAGCATAATTATTATCCTTCAAAGAGCGAAAGAACGCGATACATAGAAACAATTTAAGGACACAGTGCGTTGTAGAGCTCTAGAAGAACATGCGGAGACGATGGATCTATTCCTATTTCAGATACGCCGCGAAGTGTTGGCCAATGACCAGATGACTGACACAGCGAAACCAAGCTGTGTTGATGCAGCAGGCGTCAATAGGACCAATAGAAACGTTATGCAAAACGCACCGGTAGTTGCTCCAGGATACGATCGTACAATGTCCTCTTACATAGTCTCACTATAAAACGCATGGATTACATACGATGCGTCTTCAATATCTAGTTATAAACACATCAAAATATGGCAAAAAGCTGTCGCTTACTCATCAGAAAATGGATCATGCTGCGTGCTGATTAACCTAAGGGAACAACAATAGCTTATAAGTACACCCTTAGTTGATGGTACCTAGTCTACGCGAGAAGAACGCCTCTATTAAAAGCCCGCTATATCAGTATGCTGTTAGTAAATACCATACATTTAACTAAAAATTCACTAATGTGAATGAAACATATATGTATTGAAAAACATTATATTCTTAAACCATTTATCGCCTTAATTAAAAAAAAACACATTTACACTATCAAAATACCTTAAATTCACCCTCCTACCAAAATTTCACCACTTAAGCACATACATTATATATTACACTCCAAAAAAGAAACAAGCAATATACTATATTTTCATCTCGTACATAATCATAATCAAACTTCAAAGATACTATTGTCAAAATACCTTCTGATATACGAAAATCTACCACTTCTATATCAGTTGACCTTTTCCAAATTCAACCCTATACAAATGACCACTGTGTGCAAAACTTAGATGAGTATCTCCAGGACTCAATATAAGACTAAAATGCACGAATCACTTGAAACAACGCTAATCTGAGGCCATATCACAAGTCAATTAAACAACCACTTAATACCATATACAAGTCACTTCTAAACAAGGCCTAATTATAAGCCCATATGACAAAGTCACTCTGAAACAAGCCGTCATCATAAGACCAAATGCACAAGGCTTCACTGCCCCAAACAAGACCTATCAATAAGAGCATAATGACAAGCGTCACTTGAAACAAGTCACTATACAGATCACATGACAAGCAATTGGAAACAAACCATCAAAAAAGAATAGCGCTATACACTTTATGCCACCTGCAAGAAAAAGCTCACACAAATGTAAGTAAAACCCATAAAGCGTCAATAACAATCAAATTGAAAGAGACGACAATAAAACAGGCGAAGAGCTTAAACATCACCCCCCTGCCAGACATCTACAGCAAAAACCAAGACCAGAAGGAAAGCGGAGGAGACACTCACGCCAGCCCAACAATTACTGCACCCCAGGCTCCGCATACAAAACTGCACTTTAACATTTACTAAAAGTACTCTTTTAAAAATATGTCTTAGGCAATTGACAGATCCCTCTCTGATCTTTTATTGTTAAAGGAATAAATTTAAAACATGTGCTCTTTTGTTTAGGAATATTTTGTAGTGAAATCCATTAATATATCCACCTACATCCTCAATAATTAGAAAATATAGACCAGGTCAGGGATTTATGACCAACCAGCAGTTTAGTTATCTACGTCATTTTAATCACCATAGAAACTTGTCTGAAATATCTTTGGCGGTAAAAACATGCACCAAAGTAAAACTTAGTAGTCGTTTACCCATGGTAGGTGATTCCCATTTAAAAACTGATCATAGATTCGATAGAAACACCAAATAGAAACATGGTGTTTCGGAAAATCAGTATTACAACAAAAATCGCGAAGTTAAACATGCACAAGTGAATAAATACAGAAAAAGATAATTGATCGCGAATATGTTTTAACAGATAGATTAAATTATTTTCAGAGAAAGACCGCAAGATCAGCTTCAATCAAATGAATGACCCCGTATTGTGTAATTAGAAAGTTTATTCAATTCTAGGCAACGAATTCATAATTTGAGTAGTTCGTGATATTATAGATTAAAGTTTTCAATACAGATATGATGAAAAATACGGGAAAAAATATTTAAAAATCAGAGGGAAAACTTTAAAAAACAAAAACAATTAAACAAAACGTCATTATATATACGATAAGAATGACTCTACAGTTCGAGCATGGGGAATTCTGAGCAAAATTCAACATCCTATACTGAAATTTTAATTGAAATGATATTTGCGCGCGCTAAAGTGAATTAAATTTATTAATCGAGAAATAAACAATCAAATAAGGACCAAGAACGCCCAAATATAAAGTTTGTTGTTCTAGAAGAAATATTAGACGCCATAACACAGTTACGTAAAATAAGTGTAACAACAAAACACTTGAAAAAATTACTAGCTGAACGATTAAATATGTTGTTGTTTTTTGTTTTAGTTTTCAACAAGAGTGAACTGTGTGTTTTAAGTTCATTCATTCTCGGCACGGAATAAACCCATATGCGCGATAAAATATGTGTACATAGCATACGGGGGACGTTCTTTTCAAGCAGAATCTTCCATTGCAGACCCAAGTTACTTTTCTTAGTTAGTTCGTAAGGAGACGACATTTTTGTCAAGGCATTAACTTCGCTGAGAAGCCCGCACTGACGAACAACAAATACGGCATTCATTAGCGTCAAGACCTCCAGAGTAAGTTACGGACAGTCAACGCAAATGCACCTCGTGGTACTTGAAATGACTTGATCTGTGACCTGCGCGAGTTGAAAGCTGATGTGGCCTTCTCGACGACGTGCACCTCTGGAGGGATTTGGAGAAGAGTTTCAAACACACACAAAAACACGCTAGTTATAACACCATTCATAGCACTGGACTTAACACGCTATTCAATGTTATTCTCATTCTTATTTGCGGGAAAATGGACGACAAGGAAACGCCAATGTAGCCGTAAATAGGAAAAGCCGCGACACTCAGTTAAGACAAAAACATTTTCCGCAAAGTATAACTATATTTCACAGCTAGTAGCGTTTGCAAATCCATAAAGTTGGTTTGAGTGTAGTGACGGTAAAAAAAGCCCAAGATCAAAAAAAGAAGATATTAACTTCCTGATCAATTTTCACTTAGTTGTATAATGCAATATGAGAATAAAAAGACTTGATGCATATATTATTTTCTTTCAAGAAATATTTAGCTTTAATATTATCCGAAGCCGTTCAAAGTCAGCCAGTACGAAGTAAAAATGAAAAACTTAGGGAATAATTTTCTTGAATTACCGTGATTTTATCGAGATTCTGCTTCGGGAGAAGCAGGCAACTTGTCTCTGTCCGGTAGAGAATTGAATATTAATATTCATCACAAAGCAACAAAAACAGTGTCTTATTGATCTCAAATTATATATGGTTTACATGTAATATATGTATAATTTTTATGTTCAATTAAAATGTGCTTAATTTGCAGTTGTTATTATCATCAATGATATTAAAATGACCATAAGTATTATGATGAACAGTCCTAGAGATATTATTCGATAATAACCTGCTCAACGTATGTAATAAATATGGTTTATATATCGTATAATGAACTCAGTCGTCATACCTGCTGGTATTGTCATTGATAAGAATGGTTTTTAAGGTTTTCCTTTAACAATCCGAAATGTAGAGCCTCCAATAAAATGTTCTGACAGTAAAACAAAATGAATAAGATCAACCATATTAACCATTATATAGAATGGCCAATATCTGAACGATAAATGGCCCAATGTGCATATCTTTTATCTAACAGCACATTTTAAGCAATAAAGAAAAAACTATAAGTCTAGTAAACATTTCTTCATTAGAGCACAATACGTCCCTCCCCATCAGTACATTCCAGGCTTGAAGACACTTAAGTATACATGATTATATTCACCTTAAGAAATATGAGTATAGTACTGAAATTAATAATTTGTTACATTTATTGAAATGACATTACACACAGCATTATCAAAGTATACTATTAGTGATGGAAAAATTTGTCAATATAAAGAGAAGTCAGTGTCAAAAAGATGATTAACCAATTTTGCTTCTGATAATTATTATAATTTATATTATGAATTAAATATGATTTATAATAACATGTTAGATTATATTGGTTGTTTTATGAACCTCAAATAATATAACATATGAGATAAATGTCAATATATAATGTATCATTTCATTAGCGTCATGGGATACAGCATACCACTTTGTTGATAATGGTATGAACTGAGTGACATGTTCGGGGGGTCATGTACTCGACAGCGAAAAGCATGCCATTTGTAGCCTGAAAATAAAACTTAACGCGCGTTATCACCCTCAATAGACGTTGATCCGCATTGTCAGCCAAGTTTGTTTTTCAACAAAGTCTTGCACAAGTGACAGTAGCGCCAACCATTCAAAACTCAGAACAAAGCATCACCAAGTCAATATGATGAAACCATCTATGCAAGTACACTCTGCTCAATTTCTATGTTTAAAGGACTATTTTAAAAACAAAATTAAGAACCACTGGATAACAATAAAGATAAGCGTGTTACACATTGGAATGGGCTACCAATTATCGAAAGACCACGAAATAATACAGCTATGACATAGTCTGCAAAAATCATTATGCACATTTCATGAGAGTCAAAATCCAGTTTTAAAGGTCTATTTTAGGCAAACAAATGCTATTTTTTTGCAAGAAAATACTGTTAAAAAATTTAAACAAAAAACAGAAATCCTAGGAAAGATAGTTTATCTACCTTGAGAAAAAAAATCACCTCCACATGACATGGTGATAAACAAAGTAATACAAAAAAGTACCAAAAAATAATATTTACTATTTTTTACATGACACACCACTTCACTGAACATTAAAAAGTAGATTCTCAAAGTTTGATTGTGTTTTCATTATTCAATTGTAGTTCATAGATTAATACCTATAAAATGCATGATTGCTTTTCTTTAAACAAAAATATATATAGCGAAGGCCATGCTGCTTAAAAGACAGAGATACAGTAATTATAATTTGCGAGGTTAAGTTTATAAAAGATTTTTTATATTTGCTGCAAAGAAAATACGCTTTTTTTAAGGCACTTAAAACCAGACTTTAAAGGATTTTAACCGCTCATGAAATGTGCAATAAAACTTCTGCCAACAGGAATAGTTTATTGAGGTCTATCAAGAGAATATGTAGCACATTCAAGCGGTGGACAAGTTTATTCTTATTTTATAATTTTATTTTTGTTATAATTGTCACTTTAAATATTAAACCTGGAAGTGTATTTTCAAATGGTTCAGTCAGTATTCATACAATAAGAGCTTTGATATGGTTAATATGAATTCTTGGGGCCTACTTTCACTGATGGACAGACTTTAGTTAAACACAACATGGAACTGTACAAAAGCGGAATCACCGTCAAGCCATAAGCGACCTAATATGATGATATCATGATGGGGGAGGCGGGGGAGGCGAGAAGGAGACATGGACACAACAGGAAACGTTGAATCTGCAGTTTGAACATGAAGTGTAATGTTTTTTTATGAATGGTTTTAAAGCAATTCAACAAAAAAATATATTATTGATCTCCCTAAAATTAATTAAACAATAGTTTTTTTTTATATATTACCAATGTCAAATAGCTTTCATATCTTTGTCTCTTACGAATATGAAATATTAGTGAATTTCCTCATACCTACCTAAAATTTCAGGTAACAGTCTTCTATTATATTGATAAATACTGTATCACCATGTAACGCGTGTATAACAAACAAAAAAATAATCCTGAATTTGTTCTTTTGGAAATTCATCCCATTTTTTCATTCTAGAGTGTGTTCTACTTTCAGTATTGAAAGAAACCATTTTTTTTTTTAACTTTGACATAAAAAATATGCATGTAATATTACTATAATTATAATATTAGTCCCTTTTGTTACTATTTTGTATATTTGTTTACAATTATAACAGACTTTGATATTTCTATCATCTATCTTCGTTACTGAAACATAACACAGTACAGTCAGTGTCACATAACATTTACAAGTCTTGTAAGTCTTGTTTGTATTCAATGGAATTACTTTCCTTACCAGGTAGCGCATCAGTGAAAGCATTTTTATATATAAATATTTTCCCTCTTTTTTAAAATTATGGACAGTGCATAAGATAAGTATATAATTATGCAAAAAAATGGTTTAACAAAACATTCGGAAAAAAATCCTAAATAATAGTAAATACCTTAATCTGAATATAAACATGACCTGTGACGTAGGAATAATTGTGGGTAAGGTATCTGTAATGAGCACATTTTTTTTTGCGCGGAGCTTCTCGATTGCTGCATTGCAGCAACATTTGTACTTGTAGTCTGGAGTTCTTTCCCATTACACTCAAATGCGTTCGGCACATTTGTGTTGTTCACAAGACAAATATGCCGAACGCCTGTGTTTACACGTAGTAAATGTAGGCAATGAACCAGACTAATGGGTTGGATGTACTTGTAATATATCTACAGTAATTATCAATGTACCTGTAATCAAAGGTAGGATGCTTTTCATTAAAATGATAGCGGAAATATCAAAGCAGTTGGAAATTAATTTAGAGTGTTTGTGTACAATGCTTCAGATCATGGGTTTGATCTAAAGACGGGCCATGCTGGATATCATGATACTATGAATGCATCTTGATTACTTGAAACCTATAAAGAATCAAATTCTATGGCTTAGATGCATTAATATTTGAACACTTCTTAAAAAAAGGATTATCCCTGGATCATTATATATTGAGAATGGCTAGAAACCGAATCACACCTTATTTAAAAAAAGGCTTTGTGTAATGGGAATTTCCAGATTTAAAGAGAACAAATGTCGCTGACATTATAATGTCCTAATTTCTTATTCAGGATTACAAAATTACATGTACCTGCAAGTGTATCCGTAAGTTCTTCTGCTTTGTAAGCAAAGTTCTCAGCCGCTTGTTGGCCTCTAAATTGGTAGCAGTCACCGGAGGGTATTCCTTTACCTAGCCATACGTCATAGCTAAATTCCGGATTGTAAGATAGTTGCCCTGAACTACTACCATAACCGACCCTCGTAATAACCCATTTTCCATTTTGGGCCATCTCTTCATAACCGCCGGAAAGATAATCCTGCAAGATATTTCGTGTAAGACAAAATGAAACTAGAAAAAATGTTAAATTTGGGACTTTTGTCGTGGAATACCGTTCTTAAATTTTTTTATAGTAAAATTATCTTTAAAACAGGAAATATCGGGGAAGGGATTGCCCATTTTCAATATCTATACAATTTTAAAATGTTATATAGCCCGTATCAATGGTAGAATTTTTCAAGATCAATAATGACCAAGTACCGGTGGAAAATTTTCAATTTATAAATTTCCCCTTTTTATTTTCCCGGAAATTAAAATTTTAATTCGTGATCGCTTATAAATCGGAAATTTATGAATTACGGTTTAATTATGAATTACGTTTTTAGCTTTACCAATTTACGATTTCAATTCATAATTCACGATTTAAAATTTTAATTCCATTTAACTTACTTTTATTCACGAAAACATATTTTTTTTGAATTTGATTTAAATTCACATTTCAGCTTTAATTTTCAGAAAACACTTTTTAATTTTAGGAAGCTGAAAGTGAAATGTCCCCCCGGGCATTCGTAGGAATGGCTTTGATCGCAAAAAATACATTACAATATTATTAAAAACATTTGTTCAAATGTGGCACAAATTTTTACAAAAAAAAAAAAAATTAAGAAGAAAATTTGCGTTTAAAACTTGTAATGTATTAACCCCCAAAATTTAACAATAAAAGGTTTAGTGACGTAATGGCCCCAAATTGGGGATATTCATATGGCCCTTTTTCTTCATATACCCCGTTGGGGGTATTTGAAAAATTGTAAGGGATTGTTTTTTCCCAAAAAGCTACAATCTTTTAAGAAAAGGGAATGAGAAAGAGAATGTTATATCCTGTTTAAAATGTTATTGTTTAAATATTGAAAAAAGCCGCGCATTTTTTTAAGGCATGTTTTATTTTTGTACTTTGTCGACAATTTTTTTTTATTTACGGTTACAAAATAATCAATGTAAATCACCATAATTATATGCAATATTATCAAGTTAGCCTCTTTTTCATTTTTATTCCAGTCCTTCCATTGTACTCTATCTAGCCTGTTTTTTTATATTCCTAGTCCAAAATAATCTATATCAAAACACTATTGTACTACGTCTTATGTGTTTCTATTTTCATTTTATATCAAAACCTTAGTCGATGAAACTGTAGTCGATGAAACAAGGTTCTGATAAAATGTAAAAGATTTAGTGGTGTGAAATAAAGTCGACTTAATACATTGCTCTTTTGGCAAGTATACATGGCTGTAAAACCTAGCGCCTTGTCAAAAACGCTAATGTAATCGTCCAAAATAATTCATTATTGTACTCAACATTGTATAATAAGCTCATACCACAAAAGCGGTTGTAACATAAAACCGGTTGTAACATTTATCATTGCTGTTAAAGGGACTCCACTGAAGCCTTTTGACACGGCGGGAAATATTTTTTTTGGAGAATAATGTTCCATTGATGAAGGTTTAGACTAATAGCGTGTGTACATATAATTTCAGATAATTAGCTCTATTTTTCCAGAATAATTAAACGACCCCAAAATGAACAGTGTTGGAACTCTTTTCACTCAAATCGGGCAAAGAATAGCACAAATAACTATTTTCTTTGTTTTTTCTTAGTATATTTACAAATTATCTTTTGCATAATCTTTCTGTTTTCAGTAACCTAGGCTGACCATGTAAGAAATGCATTTTATGTTTTAGGCTTTTGGCTCCCGTAGAAAATCTTTTAAAAGCATATTTTATCAAAAGACTGCTTAATTAAGTAATTCGAACTTACATTAAGTTGGATATTTAATTTATTTATCATAGTTATAACCAATTAAAAATCTATTTTAATGATTTTTTCGAATAAGCATTTTAAAAAGTCCCCAACAAACTTTCTTATAATGGAAAATTTATTTTTGTCTGATATATCAATCTTACGCATAGATATCAATGTTGATATTAACTCATGAATCATATTGGTTTAAAGAAGCTCTTCAGGCAGACATTGATAGCTTGGTAGGGAACCATAATTGGACAGGGAACCAGATTATCCCGTTGCCAACTATCATTCGGTGATGTTTTAATTTAACGGTAACTAAAACACGCAGCATTGTGACGTCACAAATGTTGACGTTACGCATTAGCAACGTCATATTGCACCCGGAAGATTACAAAAGGCTGTTTCTAAACCATTTTAATTATGAAAAAAATTAATGGCTCGTGAAAATCGAGGCTGTTTCGTTTGGCTCATAAGTTTAAAGAAGTCATGCAACGAAAGGGTGAGTAGAAATAAAATAGAATTTTTGAACATTCAGTTTAGATAATAAATCAACGGGTTTTTTTTTGAGAATCATTTAAAATGGCGGCATAATTTACTTTAGGGAATTTATTGATGGCGATTATGTTGATGATTATAAAATAATAATAATATATATATAAAATATTATTATAATAATAATAATATATATTCAATGATAAAATGATAAGATGATTCTAAGATTTTAGTGGAAACTAAAAATTTAAACATGAGCAGTGTCATTAACATTTCAAATAAAAAATATACAATAAAATCATTGGCTTCTGAAACTTGAATGCAGGTTAATACTTAAAATAAGGAACATTGACTCTTTAACAGTTTGCAAGATTTCGAAACCGCATGCGCCAAAGATACTATGCAAGAAGAGGCAAGACCCTTGACCCAGAAACCCTGTTAAATGAAACAGGAAATGCCGACATGGTCGTCTGTAAGATTGCCAGCAAGTCAAATAAAGTCGCTCCTCAATGGTTGTCATCTTTGATTGGTATGGTAGTTTATACATTAATTTATAAATTGTTTTATAAAAGAATTCTTACTGTAGTATTTTCTACAAACATTTACAGTTTTAATGTCCAGAAACGAAAATCAAAGTACAGAATGGCAGATTGGCTGGATATAAACAACTAAAATGTAAAGGAAAAAACACAACAAACAAAACATTTTCCTCTTTGATTTTGTTAAATTTTCATATAATAAAAGATGTAACAAAAATAAAACATAACAATTTAAAAACACACTCCTTTTTCAGGTGATGTTGTTGATAATGAAAGTACAACAGTGAAAGAGACCACATCAGACGACAAACTTGGTATATACATGTATATTTTCTCAATTACTTTTACAATGTCATTACTGAAAATACAGCAGAAATTCCAAAAAATATCTTTCAAAATTTAATCAGATAGTTGAAAAAGTCCGTTTTGTAATCCATCAAGTGCAGCATATATTGCCGTTGCTACATCTTTAATGAACCCGCAATTTAATTAGCTGTATAGTTTAAACAGAATGATTACGAGATATTTTGTTAAATTATGCATTCAATATAAAAATGCATGTGCTTTTAAACCGATCGCATTCAAATTTATATTGATCATTGATCATTTAGATATCATCATGTAAGGCTTCTTGTTTTGTGACACTATGTCATAATAACATGAAATAAAGATTTAACATTTTTTTAGTTGAAGAATACGTGACATGCATCATAAACAAGGCAGCCGACACTCTGAGACAGGAATTGCCTAGCAACACAACGACCTTAACAGTGAGGCCAGCAGACGACAACATATCATTGTCCTCCAGTATCATCAGCCGTAAGTAATTTTGTTGCTACAAAGGTTAATTGTAACAACATCCCTATTGCCCCGGGGAATGCGTAGGATAGCTGATATTTTTTACTTTGTCTGCCCCGCACTTCCGGGTAAATACGAAGGTTGCGGCTTTTAGCCAACATTTTACCTTCTGACAGTCTCCGCAGGGTGGGGCCCTACTAAGATAGAACTGATCTGTGCATGAAATAATGCGTTTAAATAATCATGATATATTGATAATTCTACATTTTCAACAGTTATTTACGACATATATCTAAAACAAAGTACTGTTAATAAAGGTTGTACCTTTATACGGAAATTTTATATTTGTTTAAGTACATTGCAGAGATAAAACTTATCCAATGAGTTTGGATGTTTTTACCGCTGACTGTTGTTTTTTCACCTTGACACACGGTAATCTTAAGAGTTATTTGCTATCCCATTCCCAGGTACTCAGCAACGACTGAAACACATAAACACCCGATTATTTTTTGTAAAGAGAATTCTTAATTCTGAGAAGTTACTTTTTAGTGTACACGATATAATTATTTTATTTGACAGAAATTGCTGATATGGCTGTAACAGAGAGCTTGTCAAATATTGTGATGGATGCCGACACCAACTACTCTGCTTTTAGAGCACCTAGAACTATCAAAGAATTCAAGGGTAAGCATGTATATTTAATATTTTGTGACAAACCAAAAAAGACATACAGTAATTCATAATTTTTCATAAAAATAGGCGTCGAGCCGACCAAGAAAAAAAATTCCGACGAGCTTTCTTTTAAACAAGTTAAAGCACTGGTTACACTTCAAAAGAGCAATTGTGTTCATTCTTTTACAGAAGTATTTGGCATAACCGGATGTGACATCACTGATGATGGTCGTTCACCTGTAAGTGACTAAATGATTAAGGTAAGAATTGATAATAAATTCAGATTTTTTTATCAAATCCATTGTTGAAACATTTGGAAACGTAAAGTATGTATACTTAGGTATAGGTATGCCTTCTACAATATTATTACAAATTTAAAGAACTCACTAAAGCCACAAGTTGAAATATCTTAACTTTCGATATATTGTAGAAATTGTTTTAACTTTAAATAGGCTAAATGCATATAAAATGAACATATGAAGGTTGAATGATAAGATAACTTTGTAATAAAAGCTCGTGATGCTTACATGTGGTACTCTATCTCAGCTAATTGTTATAAAGACAAAAGTTTTTATAGTCCTTCAAACACCTAATCTTAAATCAATGGCCAAGTTAACTGTACGCAAACGTTCTTTTGTTATGAAGACATATTCTGTTATTGAAAAAAGGTCCGAATATGTTGATATAACACAGCATTCCAATATAAATTTAAGTACATGTATATACAAAATACATGTCTGAAGAAACTTCTACCCCACATTATTCTTTTTCACACTTTGTCTAACCATTGGAATACCTCCTTGATTATTCCCATATTCACGACGTTTGACGGAAATGACCGAAAGGTTGTATGCGATCTCTATACCAGATACTAGTAGCTAGAATTGTGTTCCTGTCCTTTTTCTAAAGTTCAAGTTGCGCCAATTTCTGAATTTCCATAAAATAAGCAATATTGAATATTAAATATGTAAAATTGATCATTTCTGGAAAACATATCTTTTGTTACCTAGTTTGTTCTTCAAATTTCAGATTGAAAGAAGAAGAAAGAAACCACGTGCATGTCTATTTTGTTTGTTTTGTTTTGCTGTTTCGTTTTGATTGCTTGTGTTGTTGTTTTTTTGCTTTGTTTGTTTTTTATATTATTATTTTCGTCTTTTCATGTTCTGCTCAGGCATCGATTTTATATCTTTAAATATTATTGTCATAAACATGTTTCTGAATTTTATTTTTACTAATAAAGTCCATTGAAACAAACACTTGTCTATAATTTTCTATCTTCCAGTAAATTTCTCATTGAAACAGTCACAGTTTGAAACATGTCGTTTTTAATGCTTTTCCAATAATTTTGGCTGCCACATCAATATTGCAAGGAAAAGATGATAATTAATTAAGGCGTGATAGAAACTCAACACAACTTTTTTTACCATGCGCAAAGACGGCTGTAAACTTAAATAAGTTTGTGTATGATTTTTGAATTCTAATCTGTGTGTTAACTTTGAATACTGCAGTAAGCTTTTGCGTGATCTTTGTCTAAACACGTACAAAAGCCTATAAGAGTTTGTTTCCGATTGTAACAATCTATTCTTAAAAAAAAGAAAAAAAGAAGAAGATAAAACAACAACAACAACAACAACAACAAAACAAAACATTTGTAATACTAAAAAACGTTTAAACACAAATAATGAAATAAGATCACTGCAATGCATGTTCGTTCTGGATATGCTCCTGTACTTACGGTGGCACAAAGGTGACATGTGTGTGTTTTTAATTTATCTCGTGCCAAAAAAGTTTTTGGGCCCCAGATAATTAAATCTGGGGAACGAATACAGTCTTGGGAAAGAGTACTAACCCTGCCACGAGTTACTAATCTGGCCCAGTATTAGTCGTAACGGTACTATGTCTGGCCACGGGTTCCATGGATATAAAAAAAGTGTAATAATTTTTTTTGCTGCAAATTTTGTCTTTTCTATGTTTTTTATGAAAAATTTAAATAAAAATTTAAAATTTTCGAGAACGGGAAAAAAACTGCCAAAATTTGTTTGTCGAAAATTGCCCGTTTGTAAACATTATTAAAACAAATATTACATGTAATTTGTTGGCTACGAGCTATTGGGACCCGGTCCCCTTAAATCTATTTAAAAATGTGGGAACGTGTGACCCAAATTTTCGACTGGATGTAGAGAAAGAATGTACACAATTAAAAAAAAAAATA